CTTATGTGCTCACTCATATATAATTAATGAATAAAAGGAAATAGGAAATTTGAGCTATACATAAATTGCCTCTCAATGGGTATGAAAAGAACAAAAGCCCAGTGATTTTGTCTTTTAAATGACATTTTATAGGGTCAGTCGGTCTTCAGATATTATGTATTCAGCCTTGACTCACAGGAAAGCTCTTAATATTAGAGCCCCTTCTGTGACTCTGTATGAATTTATATTTGTTTTGGCCCTGGTAAGTAGTCACTGTGACCAAGAAAGAAACTAAAATTAATATGATATATGACTTATAATGTATAATTTGGACCACTGCCACAATTTTATTGAACTCATAAAAATGAAACCATCTGAAATAAATGTATATAAACAAAGTTCATACTTTGGAGTTTGGGAAGCAAAGTAAAGTAAGAACTATCATTGTCATTGTCAAAAATAATAGTTTTTTTAATGAACAAAAGAAAATGAGTTAATAAGGACACCATATTATGCCATGTTAATAGTTTTTTTTTTTTTTTCTAATTCAGTATTTTTTTTTTATCTTGGTTTAGGAGACACAGAGGAGACTCCCTTGAAAAAAAAAGGTCGGTGGTTTTTACTTTTGAATAAGTTCTTTCTTATTGTACTGTTGATTTTCAATATGACTCAAATATATTTCATTTGTTTTGTTACCTTAATTTATTTTTTAATACAGAGGCTGTTTATTGAAGAGATGAAAATTTATAGTCAAGATAAACACTCACTTCTTTCTAATGAAGTTGATTCCATTATTTTTCATTTGATTATTTAATGGATGCCTTTTTCCCTAGACTAGTGCAAATCCATCTGTACACACACCATTATGAGATGAGATTTCAGGAATAAAGAGAGAAATTTGTAGCCATAGAAATAGCCCAGAGGATGTTGACACCATGTTCTTTATTCTCATCATGGCAAAATTTATTGAGTTATTTTATTTTTATTATTTTTACTTTGTTTTCAGTATTATATTGCATTTTAGGTGATAGCTCAGGTATATAGAAGTTTAAAAACTATGAAACATAATGATTCGGAGGCAAAATTATATAAGTTAGTATGGGTCATGTATCACCCCCAAGCAGGAGAGTCAACTAGGGAGATTGAATATGGCATAAAAGAATTCCTTTCAGGAATAGCTAATATCTTCAGTAAGTTAGTGGAATTGTTGTAGCCAAGTGTTGGTGGTAATAAGCCTAGGAAAAGGTATGGAGCAAAAGCCTCAAAAGGACAGGGATTTTTGCAGTAAGTAGGAACTATGTCTGGGAGCAGAGATGTAGAATACAATCCTGAGGCACATTTGGTATGGGGAAAAAACAGCCAAAAGTTGGCCAGACTTGATATAATGCTGATTTTAGTCACTGCTGCACATGTCTAACAGCTGGCTCTTGAGCTATCTACTCCAGAGGAGAACTTATTGGCTTTTGTTGCTCTCTCCCAAGACCTGTATTCAAACACTGGAATCAAAGTGTGGATCTGAGCAGATGATGGCTGCCCCACTGCTCTGGTAAATTCACTAAGGATATGCTAATTTGGAGAATATGAATTTATAACTTTTGCAATAAAACAGAGCTGAACTAGTGAAATCCATGTATAAAGTCATCTAGAAGTGAATGTGTTTATGAAGTTCTGTGAGGAGAAAGGAAGAGTTTGCTAATACACGGATTCCGGATGAGACTTGAGGAATTTAAAGCAGAATTCTGTCATCAAGTTCAGATTTAGAGATTCTAGATTAGTCTCTATACTCTAGAGGTCAGAAATAGGCTCTTGTTTACAGCTAGTCTCCCATGCATAATGACTGGAACACAGTTAAACTAAGTTAATTAGGTCATCGTCTGAAATAGTGACTCCTATACATGCATATTGCTATTGGAAATGAAGAAGGAAAAGCAGATAAAAAATGTTTTCTCACTTATAAACTCCATTCTATAAGAAGATCATAAGGTTCTACTCTCCATAAATTGATATCTACTTCTTTAATACTGAGCCTCTATTATTTGAGTTTTCCTTTGGAATTAGTTTTGAGTTCATTTCCATGTAATGATTAGTATAAATTGCAAACACAAAAAATTATTTAACTATTTTTAAAAATTACTGTCTTGATTTATCAAATGGTCAAGAACTTATTAAATACTTGCTCAAGGTACGTTTTTGTGTGTGTCAGTAATGCTAATTAGTCAAAATAGTCTAAAGGATAATAATATATGTTTAACCCCCTATCTTGAAGGATTTCATATTCAAAACTAGGAGAAAATTTACTTAAAGCCACATAAAATTACATGAAAAAAAATGACATTTAAGGAACATACTCTACCTTGGGTATGAAAGTTATGCAATGACAACTGTTGGTTATAATTTGACTAAAGTGTATATATTTTATTATAATTATTATTTTATGTATAAATTTTCCTTGGTAGATTCATAGGCAATGTGAATCTTAAATCAGTATGCACTATCTTAGATAACACTCATAATATACAATCTACGTTAAATTATGTTTTAGCATTATTATTAGTGAAGAGATTCTATGAACTTATTCCCATCACATTCTGGGTTATTGTACATATTTTTGTATTTAAAATTTTGAGAAGACCAAGTTGAAGAATTTGATGAGTAAATGAGCAAATGAAATAGTAAATGAGATAAAATAGTTAATAAATTGCATATTTGACACTGATGAGGAAAAGTCTTTATGTGAGATTAGCATAAAGACCTGAACTAAAGCAGGATGAAACTATTAATAACAGTAATTTTGCAAATGAATGCATTATTTCAGAAAAATGAATTACTTTTATTTCTCTTTCAAAAATTCAAAAATATCCTAAGTCAAAGTTAAAACTAAGCTAAGTGACATAGAAACAAATGTAGACTCTGAGGGAAAGAGAATTCAATAGTATTAAAGCATATGTCAATCCCTGGTACCCAATATATATATATATATATATACACACACATATATCACAGGAATTTTAGCAATTTCCCATTTGTTTTAAAAAATGAAGTATTAGCTTAACATAAAACTAATAGCATTTTTGTAGTTTATATTAATATTTATGTTTTAGTAAGTTTTTAGTTGAGGCAAACATTCACAGAAAGTATAAATCCTTAGCAGGTATATAGCTTTGTAATTTTTGTGCTCTAACATTTCCAAGTGCAATATAATGAAAATACTTATCTTCTTTTTACAGGTTTATTCTTACTTAAACCATTATCTGTAATAAGTCTATATTAGAGAATAATAATCACAGCATTTATGTCCTTTCAAATATGTAATTTTAAGTAATAATGATAGTCTCTTAACAAGAAATTATGATTTATAATGCCTTTTCCTGACATCTAGCTTTATAGTTAAGAAGGAATAATCATAGTTACTCAAAGTTATGCACACTATTTTTTTTTTTTTTTTGGTACAGTAAAACCTGGACTTCAATTTTAGGGATATGTTGACCTCTTGGGTTACAGATTTATCTCTTGCCTTCTAGGAAAGCACCAGAAGTCCCTTTACATTATGTTTAATGTCCTTGCTTACTAACTACTAGATCTTTGAAATAAGAAAATATCCTTAAGGATGAGCATGACCAAAATATAAAGCCTGACATTCCGTGAGATTATACTTGATGCATGTCAATGGAAAAGGAAGAGACTCCTTTATTTAGAGCAAACAGATTACATTCTCCCTTAGCTGTGTTTTTAAATTGCCCTAAAGCTCTGCAAGTTGAAAAGAGCTGCCTAGTAAATTTAAACTTAGTTATTTCATTGTGTATTTTTCTTACTTTATTGAAATCCACAGTAGCTCTCTGTAGTCAGAGTGGATGAAGAAGAGCCAGAATATTGGAACATCATAAATATTCAAGACTTCAGGAGTAGGCCATTTGGAAGGTTGTATCACATCCTTGGTAGTAAGATAGATGGACAAGTCTGTGTGCCAGAGTTTCAGTTGCATCCGTCTTTGCTGGCATTTTCAGTGGTTTAAGCCAGGCTGAACATTGAGTGTCTGGAAAATATGGTGAATGAAAAAGGAGGGAGAATGGAAATGTGACTAAACTTGTTAAAATTCATTGCCTCAGAATATTGGTTACTAGGTAGGCCCTAGAAACATTGTTAAGTGATACGTTTAATTTTGGATTTCTCTTCTAAAGAAGTCTAGATGGAAACTTACCTCCCTTTCTGCTGCACAGCACCCACAGGCTCTGTGGGAACTTCCTGCTGTCTGCGGCCTCTCTTTCTCAACACTGATCAGACCTGTAACTACAGGGAGAGGGAGTCACTTCTCCAGGTAGTTGAAGATGTAGGTAAACCATGTGTTCAGGTTCAAAAACTGTCTTAATTGCAATTATTTTGATCAAAAAGAGACCAAAACCCAGTTCAAATTGGCTTAGTAGAAAAGATTCTTTATTGATTCAAGAGATGGGAAGATACAAAGCAGAGTAGGCTCTGGCCATAGTTTGATACAAGCTTTTGTATAATGTTTTACATAATGTTTTGCTTCGGACTCTGCTTTCCTTCCTGTTTCATTTGCTTTGTTCTCAGGCATGCTTTCCTTACCTAGTGAAATTATTCACACCAGAAGCTTGAGACCAAAATTATTTTACTTTACTGACCCAGAGAAAGGACCTGTGTCTTCCCCAAATATTACTGCTAAAACAAATTTTTTGTCTCTTACTGATCTGAACTGAGCAACATACCTTTGTTGGTACCAGTGTGCCAAAATATTCAACATACAACTAGTCAAGGCCTGGGGACGGGGCCCACCCTAGAATTAGAGAAAGGGAAGTAGGAAGTAGCACTCAGCTCCTTGTATTGTGATTAGGAAAGGAACAGTTCCTAAAACTAAAAGAGGAAGAGTGTTCCCATAGTGGATTCTACCTTAAAAAAAAAAAACCCACAGATGTCCACATCTCTTTTTTGTTTTAAGTTCAGAATCCCAGATTACCTTCAACCTTCAACCTCCAAACTCAGATTTGTGAACTCAGAATCTCAGAGGTCCTGTGGGAGGGAGAGGATAGTTTGCTGATAGGGTTGAGGGATTGGGATGATGAAAGTGCTCTAAAATTGATTGGGGTGGTGGTTTCACAGCTCTGTGAACAATTAGAAACTATTATGTTGCATATTTTGAGTGGGTGAAATTTATGAAATGTGAACTATATCTCGATAATGTTTTTTGTTTTAAAAAATAATAAATTGAAATATGTAATTACACTCCATCCCAAAGAATTATTTAAATATCTAAAATATATTTCTAAATCACAACCAGGATGAGAGCCATTGTAATGCAAAAGAGTAATTCTCAAAATAAGAGAATTTGTGCATTGTGAGACCAGTAAGGGAGACAGTTAAGGATAAGTGAATATCTTCATATTTTATGTAGACATTGTGACTACTTTATATAAACTTACTGTTAAGAAAAATACCAAAACATGAATGAAAAAATTCAAACTAAGTTAATGTTACTATCACATTGATATAGACCACCATTGTCATAACTATTGATAATGCTGTTCAGGTCAATGCATTAAAATATTAAACATAATTGAAATAAACTGGAATGAATGCAGTGAAGATGTATATG